GTAGACCTTGTCTCTTTCTTTGAATTTCCACAAACTGTGTCAATTTAGCAACATGGCTAGAGGGCGTCCGGGAGATATTGTACCTCTAACACTACAGGTAAGCGACACCTTCCTCCAGGAGACACACAGGTAACATAATGAACATCAGCAAGTTTCCAGGGCGTGAAGTAACAAGCTGAGCTGCTTGTCACTTGCCGTTGTCGACAGTTTTGATCATTGGGTAAAAAAAAAAAAAGAACACTGTTTCATGTGTGTCGACAGGTGATGACATACACAGGTGGTGTCACAGGTGTGGGGTGTTAGTGGAGGTGTGTGGGGGGAGGAGCACCCGCACGCTTCATACCAGGAAACATGTGAGGTGTTGGTGGGACTTCCCGGTATTGTTTACCATCCCGGGTGACGCCAGTGCTCCCTCCCGCAGCCTCCACCTCTCCCGACGATGCGATATTGCTAAGAACGGAGTAACGTGAAAAATATGAAAATGATTTTCTCGTGTTACACTTATGCGCGGGTCGGTAGTTTTAAATACCTATCTGATTACCTGGTACTGACGCGGTAGTGGTGGGGGGGTGAGGCGGTGGTATCGGGTTGTCGTGGGACTGTCCCGGACGTCGTTGGCTGCCGTATGATCATAGATATCTCTCATTTATATAACGTGAGTAAGGAGGGTTATAAGACACCTGCTGTAGGGGGGTGATTAGTGCGACTCAACAGGTGTGCGACACGGTTCCTGTGAGAAGGTGTTGGTGGTGTCGTGGGAAGGATTGTTGTGGTGGTGGATGTTGTGTCCATCACCACCAGCCCCGGCAGCGAGTGTGTGACGTCAAAGGGGGCTGAATGTTGCGCGGTGCCCCCAGAGATTCCGCCTCCCTCCCTCCGCCTCGTGTTGTTGCTGTTGACGGTCAAGTCTTTGTGCCGCCGCTACTGCTTACTAGAAGGTTAGATAGAGGGGGGGGGGGTGGTGAGAGACAAAGGGAGGGGGGTAAAGGTTAGCGACATCGCCCTTGGCTCTCTTCATACAATCAGACCAATAATAGTAGCGCAAATATCTTAGCTTTAAAAAGAAGGAAAACAAAATTGTATCGAAGTCACGTGGAACAGTTGAGACTATCGAGACCTCCAGTTTGGTGATGGCTGCTCCTCTGTGTTAAATTCAACTCTCGTGATGATTTTGATGTGCATTTTGGCCGACAGTACATAGTTAGGGGGTGAGTTGATTCATAGGGGGAGGGGTGAGGGGAGGGTCGGGTCAAGTCTTTGTAGGATTCCTGAAGCTTTTATCAAACACTTGGCTGGCTTCCCCTAAGTGCTCTTGTCTTTGTGCTGTGGGGGAGCTGGTGAAGGATTTATCTGGGCGGTGTGTGTGTGTGTGTGTGTGTGTGTGTTTCGACGTTTAGTATTAGTCAACGGGACGCTTTTGGGGATTCCCGAGTAGTTTGATTGTCTGTCTGCTGCTGTTGCGTTGTTAGATGAGAAAATTAATGGTCTACAATCTAATCTAACCCAAGGCAATCTAATCTAACCCAAGCCAGTCTCATCTAACCCAAGCCAGTCTAATCTAACCCAAGCCAGTCTAATCTAACCCAAGCCAGTCTAATCTAACCCAAGCCAGTCTAATCTAACCCAAGCCAGTCTAATCTAACCCAAGCCAGTCTAATCTAACCCAGTCCAATCGAGTCTAACCCAGCCAACCCAACGTAACCCAATCCTACCATGAGAATTAACAAAAAACTCGAGGACATCAGGCACATGGGAATGGGGGTCTATTAGGACTGGGGTCTATTGGGACGGGTCTATTGGGACCAGGAGTTTATCAAGACATCCATCTATCAGGACCAGGGTCGTTTGCTGTTACCATTACTGTGTATACGTATAGTGTTACTGGTGCTGCTAGACGGATGTGGTGTGTGTGTGTGTGTGTGTGTGTGTATCGCGCTTTGTTTACGTGTTATTGTTCATTTGTTTATTACTAATTCTCTCTCTCTCTCTCTCTCTTCACACACCCATCTCTTTGTACCAAGTCATTGCCTCGTCCACCTCCTCTCTCTTACAAAAAATAAATGGCTTATTACTTTTAAGTTGTTGTAGTATTTGTCGTAGTAGTAGTAAGTGTATAATTCTCAGGTATGATAAGCCATTGATTGCTATTCCAGGTGTGTATATAAGAGGGCCAGTTTCACCTTGACTTTGTTGACAAGTTTATGAATCTTCCGCTGACACAGGAAGTTGGTCTCGTGGAGGTGGCTGTAATCCTCTCTTCAACACGGCGCGTCACAGTGAGGGGTGGATGAGTGGATGTAGCAGTGGTGGATGAGTGGATGTAACAGTGGTGGATGAGTGGATGTAGCAGTGGTGGATGAGTGGATGTAGCAGTGGTGGATGAGTGGATGTAGCAGTGGTGGATGAGTGGATGTAGCAGTGGTGGATGAGTGGATGTAGCAGTGGTGGATGAGTGGATGTAGCAGTGGTGGATGAGTGGATGTAGCAGTGGTGGATGAGTAGTGGAGTACAGCAGTGGTTCTTCTAATACATAACTGATTCGCAAACAAAATGTATAAATAATATTTTTCACTCTGGCTCAGACAACCATACAACATATAATATCTAATTCCAATCAACTTTTACCACACTAGTCACCTCTGTACACTGCCTTAGTTACTATCACTGTACACTGCCGTAGTTACCATCACTGTACACTGCCGTAGTTACTATCACTGTACACTGCCGTAGTTACCATCACTGTACACTGCCGTAGTTACCATCTCTGTACACTGCCTTAGTTACCATCACTGTACACTGCCGTAGTTACCATCACTGTACACTGCCGTAGTTACCATCACTGTACACTGCCGTAGTTACCATCACTGTATCGCAACTTACCAAATGTTCCTACGATCTTTTTTTTATCCCGTAAGTGAAGCTCTAGTTGAATCTATATCTTTATAGTTCTGGTAAAATTTCTGTGTATTTTCGAACACTCAAGCCGTCAGCTATGGGTCTTGAGATAGGCCAGTGCGCAGGTTGTTGCCGTTGACCTTGTGAGTGTTGTGAATACTTACACGTTCCCAGATTGACTTTTAAAGATTATGTGTGAGTGAATTTCTTTTTGCGTCCTAACTGGTGTGAAACCTAAGTCATTAAAGGTGTCTTGATTATTGATTAGTATTTATATATATATATATATTATTCTTTTGTGATTTTAATACAGTCAAAAAGGTTAGATTCGTTCATTTGTGTTAAGGAGAAAATATTAATTTAGGAATTGATAGAGAGTTGTTAATTTGGTGTTAAAGGGTCGTGAATTGGAACGATCTTTAACCAGGATTGTCACATAGTCTTGCACAGTCAATCAAGAACCTGTATACGTCCGGTCTTGTCGAGAACACTAGGCGGATGTTACCGACCTTCCCGCCCACCTGGATGATGAGGGTAAGTACGCCAGGTGGGTGGGTGGGGGGGGTGGGGGGGGGTGTAGTGGATGATGATGGTGGTGGATGATGATGGTGGGTGGTGGTGATGGAGGAGGATGGTGGTAGTGGTGGGGAGGGTGGTGGTAGTGGAGGAGGAAGTGTGGTAGAGGATAAGGATGGTGATACTGCCCCGCCCCCCCGCCCCACTGAGCCACACATCTCTCTCCTTTGTCTTCCTCGTCCGTGTTGTCCCAGCGTCCTTGTCTTGTTCTTCTTTGTCTGTCTGTCTTGTCCTCTTTTGTTTTCCCTTCCTCGCTGTCTCCATTGTTCTGCTTGTCGTCTGCTCTGCTATTCTCTACTCTGCTGCTGTATTGTGTGTGTGTGTGTGTGTGTGTGTGTGTGTGTGTGTGTGTGTGTGTGTTATTTAAGGGTTTCCACGTTTTAACTGATAATATAAAGCAAATAAAAAGTATTCCAGATTACCTCATAATAACAGCCATGGTGAAGGAGGCAGCCAAACAGTTGACCGCCTTTCTCTGTTGACACAATACTCGCGTTACTGCTCACCTCCAGGGTTAGACAGGCTTACTCTTTGTGTCTCACCTGAGTCCATTGTTGTCCTCCCTCTCCTTCCCTCCAGGTGTGTGACAGTCAGTAGTGAACCTTGATAACTCTAATAAATAGCTTTCATATCGGATGACTTGTGTCTCTACCAAGGTGTGTTTAGTTTGTAGTTATGATCACCTGGATGTACCTCCTTGTAGTGACCGGACTCCTCGTGTTGTGTGTGTCTTGTTTAATCTCACGACGGAGGAGGTTGGTCAGGACACGAGGTGGTGTTACGCAGTAGTGTGTGTCGGGGGGGGGTAGAAGGGGTGGAGTGGGTGAGTAGACAGGGTGGGTGGGTGGGTGAGAGAGGTGGACGGGTCTGAGGACAGGATGTTGAGGAGCCCCGGGTGTCCCGTTACTCTCCAGGGAGGTGCTCAAGGCTCCTCCCGCTCTCGTTTGTCTGTCAATATGTCCGTCCGGGAATGCTCCTCTCACTCCTGTTGTCATACCTGCCTGGAATCTCTCTCTCTCTCTCTCTCTCTCTCTCTCTCTCTCTCTCTCACAACTTCCAGCAGCTGACAAAGAACCAGGAGGAAAAGTATTAATGAGGAGAGAGAGAGAGAGAGAGAGAGAGAGAGAGAGAGACTCCTCTCCCCTCTGAGCTGAATAAAATCGTCTGGTGTTAAGTGGCGTCCCCATAATGAAGGAGTTAACTATTATTTAATCAATGTTATCCACAGGTGTACGCTTCCTGGCTACACTTCAGTTACCTGTTTATGTTCATTGATACTAAAACACTCTATGATAACTTCGAGGTAACATTGGCGCTGTTTAAACTGAAGAGGTTACGAAATATACTTATGTTTAGGTATGTGTTGTTGTTGTTGTTGTTGTTGTGTAGGTAAGTGAATGTGTGTGTGTGGGGGGGGCTCGTGTGGGAACTTCTCTGTACGACACTTTGGGAGGGGCCAGCTGGCGTCGTTTCAAGGCAAGCAAGGTGGTGGTGTTGGCTCGGTAACTAAGTGAGAGGGCCTGTCTGTACTTAGAATGGCCCAGTCGTGGCACATCCCCTACGGTGTTCACTTTATCTCTCTCCAGTGCGTATCAGTGACAAGTTACCTGTGACCCTAGTAAACATTATTACTTGTGCGACGTAACTAGTGGAAGGTAGTGTTGTCTGGCCGCTGATGACGATATTTTGTACAACGAAATTTGTAACACCAATAAGATTCTTGGGGGGTATCCGTCGTTGTATTGTTTTGTTATAAATATTTGTGATTTTTCGTGGCAGTCTTCTTCAGTATACCTGTAAGATATATTAATCACCTGGGTTAAGATATGGTAATAGACCCGTAATGTTTCAGAGAGTTGGTGTGTGTGTGTGTGTGTGTGTGTGTGTGTGTGTGTGTGTGTGTGTGTGTGTGTGTGCGTGTGTGTGTGTGTGTGTGTGTGTGTGTGTGTGTGTGTGTGACGTTACTGCCATACGTCATCACATAGTTGTCGATCAAATGCACACTGCACCTACCACACTCACTACTACCCACACGCACGTCATCCACTACTACCCCGCACGCACACCACTCCACTCCACCGCACGCACGCCACCGCACGCACACCACTCCACACAGCCAACACATACAACTAACTCCACACAACATACTGACTTTTCCAATCATTTTTCACATTAGTTGTTCGTGTCGGTGTGTCAAGACATTTTCACGCAACGAGTTTAGGATTTTAGTCACTTGAGTCCCGTTGCAGGAGGCGGTGTTGGGGGGGGGGGTCAGTGTTGTGGTGTGAGCCGATCAGGAATTAACCGGATAGTGATGATGTGTGAGGTGAAGGAGATGAGGAAACATGACACAGGTGTAATTGTTTACTGTGGACTAAACACCCGACACACACACACACATATGCATGCTCGTGACTGGCCCTCCCTCGCCTCAACAGGTACGTTACGCCCCCCCCCTCCTCCTCCCCTCCCCTCCCTTCCCCCGACACCCACAAGGTCGTATGAATGTCCAGGACACTCCCCCTCCCAAGCACCCACCACAGGGGAGGTAGTTGACCTTATGTGGGTGTTATTGTGCGTCGTTTTCCTGGTAGTTTATTGGACGGTGTCGCTACCAGTTACCTTGTGATTTAGGAGTATAGTGGGGGAGAACTGTCTGTCTGAATCTATGATATGAAAGTTTAACGCCCCATGGAAAGGTGACCTCTTACGGTGGGTCGCATTCGGTAGTGTGTGTGTGTGTGTGTGTGGACGCTGTAGGAGGTGATCCCGGGACAGGCCAGCAGGAGGCGGTGAAGGAGAAGGGCGTGAGAGTCGGGTTCTGTGGATTACGTCGTCGTCAGATTTTACAAACTGTCTGAAATCAAGAGTTATTTGAGGACGTGAGTCAAGAGTAAATTAAAATAATAATAATAATGACGTTTGGTTAATAATATACACAGACATTCTTCCTTCACTAATATTTACATCATCTTCGCCTGTGCATGAAGTATAACGCGTGTTATTTAAATCGCACGGCACCTTAGACTGGCAAACATGGTCAGAAAATGAAAATACTAGGTTGGTAAATGTTTGGGAGGGAAGATTTGTTTGTGTTTTGATGGCTTGTAGGGTGGGTGGTGCTGGGGGGAGGAAGGGTGCTGGAGAAAGGGTGGGGGAGAGAAAGAAAGGGAATGAGTGTTAAGAGAGTGAAGGAATGTTGGAGGGGAGAAGAGGAAAAAAAAGTTAGGAGAGGAGGACTTGGGGGCCCCGGCAGAAGTTATATAAAGGAGGCGGCGCAGTAGTAGGTTCGACCTTGGCAGTACCAGTGTTCCCTACTCGACCCATGCCGTCATAAAGTAGGCTTCCATGTGGAGGTCGATGGTGGTAGTGGTGGTGGATGAGGTCGATGGTGGTAGTGGTGGTGGATGAGGTCGATGGTGGTAGTGGTGGTGGATAGGGTCGGTGGTGGTGGATGAGGTCGATGGTGGTAGTGGTGGTGGATAAGTCGATGGTGGTAGTGGTGATGGATGAGGTCGATGGTGGTAAGTGTGGTGGATGAGGTCGATGGTGGTAGTGGTGGTGGATGAGGTCGGTGGTGGTGGATGAGGTCGATGGTGGTAGTGGTGGTGGATGAGGTCGATGGTGGTAAGTAGTGAAGATATATACTGATATTAAGTGTTGGATGGGGGGTGGGGGTTTCCGTTGTCAGTGGGCATCGGAAACAACAGGTGAGGAGGAGGCGTTGGTCAGCTAACTTATTATTAATCAGGTAAAGCTGAGGGGGTTGACGGTGTGTGGAGGCGGTGACCCTTGGCTGTGTGATGCAGTATGGGCTCTACCAGTCAGTCTTACCTGTTAGTCTTAATTATCAGGTTAGGTTGAAGATGATTTGGATTCGTGCCCAATTGACCTGTATCTATTGGATGTAGGAGGAAGGAGGGGTGGAGGGTGTAAAGGTGAGGTAGTTGTTGGGGTGTGGATGAGGGGAGAGGCAGGCAAGGGTAGGGGTGGGGTGGGGTGGTGTACAAGGGCGCATATCGGTGTGTCTGTCTTGCCAGCGTCCTCCTGGGGCATGCGGGATGCGGGAGTCTTGTACTCTGACTTACATAACCAGTTCGTTGCTAGGTGGGAGTGTGTGTGTGTGTGTGTGTGTCAAGGTGAAGATGAAGACAGTGATAGGTACCAGAGGGGTGATGATGATGATGAGAGATACTGTTGGCGATAGTGAGAAGGGGAGGACCTCAGCGAAAATGGTGATAAAGAAGGAGGGTGTCCCGAGAGAGAGTGTGATGGTGACGATTAGAATGGTGAACGCAACGCTGGAGAGATGGACGATGATTTTGATGATGATGATGATGATGACTGTAAAGGAGAAGCTGGGAAAAAATTAGTTCTATCAGTCAGTATAGATCACTCATCGAGGAAATTAATGACACCAACGAGCGGGGGAAAGTTTAGGGAAATTAGGAAAACAAATCACCTCATGTTTCCAGTCACGTTCATAACTAACACCTACAAAGTGCAAGTAACAGAACAATTAAGTAACAAGGTGTGCTGAAACATCTCCCCACGTCAACTTTGATGAGTCAAGCAGGTGTGACAAGCGCTCACCTGCAAATTTCGCGGAGTCAGTATTCTGAAATGCTTGTTGGTGGACACTTTGTAAAGCTCTCTGTCATGTGTATATGCTTGGATGCTTATATGTGTATGTATGCACGCTTGGATACATGGTGAGTCAGTTGGATGCTTATATGTGTATGTATGCACGCTTGGATACATGTAACAAGTAGAATAAATACGAAACAAAAAGGTGAATGAATTTACTCCCCTCTTCCCCCTACCCCCAAGAAAATAATTAGTTTACCAGTTACTGTTAAAAGGAATGATGTGCAGGAATGTGCCGGAGAAAAAGAGAGAAAAATGTAATACAGTTTATAGTTTGGTGGTGTGTACTATAGGTCCTGTAGCTCGAGGAGATGAAAGTGTCAGCTGATTCGTGTTATTGTCCATCAGCTGATTCGTGTTATTATCCACCAGCTGATTATTGTTATTATCCACCAGCTGATTCTTGTTGGGTTAGCGCGTTCTTATGGTTGCTAGTTAGGATGAGGGTGTGTGGTAATCAGAGTGATGGCGGTATTTTTATCTTAATTTAACACGTATAAAGTACCAAGGATGTCTGGGGCCTTTCTGCCGTGGCTGCTGCTGCTGAGTTTCCTGTTTGTCTGTCTGCCTGTCTGTGCCTGGCTAGTAGACATAACTATTGCCAGCATGACTAGTCCTTTTGGTTGGAAAGTGTGTGTGGGAGGGGGAACGCTTCCTAGGTGATCAATATAATACTGTAGTGGTTGTAGGTGTACTGGTTCGTGGTTGTAGTGGTTGTAGATGTACTGGTTCGTGGTTGTAGATGTACTGGTTCGTGGTTGTAGTGGTTGTAGATGTATGCTGGTTCGTGGTTGTAGTGGTTGTAGATGTACTGGTTCGTGGTTGTAGTGGTTGTAGATGTACTGGTTCGTAGTTGTAGTGGTTGTAGATGTATACTGGTTCGTGGTTGTAGTGGTTGTAGATGTATACTGGTTCGTGGTTTGTAGTGGTTGTAGATGTACTGGTTCGTGTAGTGGTTGTATGTATACTGGTTCGTGGTTGTAGTGGTGTAGATGTATACTGGTTCGTGGTTGTGAGATGTGATGTATACTGGTTCGTGGTTGTAGTGGTTGTAGATGTACTGGTTCGTGGTTGTAGTGGTTGTAGATGTATACTGGTTCGTGGTTGTAGTGGTTGTAGATGTACTGGTTCGTACTGGTTCGTGGTTGTAGTGGTTGTAGATGTATACTGGTTCGTGGTTGTAGTGGTTGTAGATGTATACTGGTTCGTGGTTGTAGTGGTTGTAGATGTATACTGGTTCGTGGTTGTAGTGGTTGTAATGTACTGGTTCGTGGTTGTAGTGGTTGTAGATGTATACTGGTTCGTGGTTGTAGTGGTTGTAGATGTACTGGTTCGTGGTTGTAGTGGTTGTAGATGTATACTGGTTCGTGGTTGTAGTGGTTGTAGATGTACTGGTTCGTGGTTGTAGTGGTTGTAGATGTATACTGGTTCGTGGTTGTAGTGGTTGTAGATGTACTGGTTCGTGGTTGTAGTGGTTGTAGATGTACTGGTTCGTGGTTGTAGTGGTTGTAGATGTATACTGGTTCGTGGTTGTAGTGGTTGTAGATGTATACTGGTTCGTGGTTGTAGTGGTTGTAGATGTATACTGGTTCGTGGTTGTAGTGGTTGTAGATGTATACTGGTTCGTGGTTGTAGTGGTTGTAGATGTATGCTGGTTCGTGGTTGTAGTGGTTGTAGATGTATGCTGGTTCGTGGTTGTAGTGGTTGTAGATGTACTGGTTCGTGGTTGTAGATGTACTGGTTCGTGGTTGTATTGTGTTTTATGTTGACAGTTACCTACATCATTGGGTGTTGTAGACTCGTACAGCATCGGCAGGTGTTATTGCAGTATTAGACAGGTAGTACAGGTGTCGTCAGGGCTCATCGCTGTTATTGATTGAAACCTGTCGAGTCAGTTAGTGTTTTGATGTGGTGGTGGTGGCTGGAGAGGAGAGAGAGGGAGGGAGAGGGAGAGAGAGGGAGGGAGAGGGAAATACATGTCTTATTACAGTAAAAGTCTTAGCGTTATTCTGTCCGTCTTATCTACAGTAAATAATGAGAATTGAATGGGGCAGTTTAATCCGTTGTCTTATTATCATTGTGGGGAATTTTTTTAGCGTAATCTTTAGTGAATCTGACGCAACTTATGTAGATACAAGGAGTTAATAATGAGAGTCTTGGTAACGGCAGTGTTGTTAGTATTGTTGTTGTATTCGTAAATGTCAACACCTATCTCGCTTTACATGTTAAATTATATACATTTAATTATGTTCATTGTGTCTAGACTTGTATATTGCTGCGTTTGTTAGTGTAAGCAGGATATAGTTTCTCCAATTTAGTTTGATATGGAGGTTGTTATGTTGCTTTACTGGCGCTCGTGTGAGTGTCCCTTTCAGTAGATCCTCCCCCCCCTGTCAGTGCCTGCCTTTAATCCTTTCATCCCCAGCTGCCCTAACCCTTCCCTCCAGCCCCCCCCCCCCCCCACTGCCTGCTGGGGGTGTTGTATTGACTTATGACAAAAGAGTCTCGCTTCAGCTGGTTGTTTGTTGTCGCCGGGGCCCTGTATGTTGCTGGGTGCCCTGTGTGATGTGTTTGTTTACATACATCGTGGGTTTGTTTATATACATCGTGGGTTTGTTTATATACATCGTGGTTTTGTTTACATCCATCGTGGGTTTGTTTACATCCATCGTGGGTTTGTTTACATCCATCGTGGGTTTGTTTACATCCATCGTGGGTTTGTTTACATCCATCGTGGGTTTGTTTACATACACCGTGGGTTTGTTTACATACACCGTGGAAGGTCGTAATCTCCACATGAAATCCCAGGAGAAGGTGATGATTGTGGTGGTAGAGTAGGCTGGTCGTTTGTGTTGTGAGTCGTGGTAATGTGTTGAGGTTTACGTGTGCTCTCTCTCTCTCTCTCTCTCTCTCTCTCTCTCTCTCTCTCTCTCTCTCTCTCTCTCTCTCTCTCTCTCTCTCTTTTTTCTTTCCTCTTTACTCCCTTTATAAAAAAACGACAGTGCAGGTACACATTCAAGCACAGGTACACACTCAAACACAGGTACACATACACGCACAGGTACACATACAAGCACAGATACACATACAAACACAGATACACAATCACAGATACACACAAACAGATACACACAAACAAACACATATACACACAAACACAGATACACACAAATACAGATACGCACAAACACAGGTACACACAAATACAGAAACAAGTACTTTTTTTCTTTTCATCCTAATCCCTAACTCTTGTGATTCAGTCAGGATGGAATACGACAAACGTACTCTAAAATGGTAATGCAGGAAGAGTATACAGTATATATACCCCCGAGGACACTTAGTGGTGGTGTGTGGAATAGCTGACGACTCGCCTCTCTGTGTAATAATAATAATGTGTCATTGTTGTGTAATGGCCGACGTCTTATATCAGTTCTTTATTATCGCCTCTATTCCTTTCATGCTATCACCTCACCGTAGCCTACTTGACCACCCCCCACCTTCACCCCTTCTCACTTTCCATCGTTTCTGTGTTAGGGGGGGCAAAATATCACTTACCTCCACCTCTTTAGTCTTCTTCTTTGCCTCCTGTCCTCTCTGCTTCCTCTTCCCTTGAGTCAACATCGTGAATTCTCCTCCCCCTCCTCCCCCTCCCCCCCTCTCCTTCAGCCTAGGTAGAGTGTGTGTGTGTGTGGGGGGAGGGAGGGGTAACTGTGAGGTGATGGTATACACTCTCACACACACACACGGAGTGGGGTAGAGGGGGAGGTGTGTTAGAAGGAGTGGGGAGGGGGAGAAAGGTTAGGGAACGTGGTAAGTCACTAAACCTGTTAGTATCACTTGGTCATGGCCGCTCATCTACTATCACTCACACACACACACACAGACACTCACACACACACACACACACACACACACTAACTAATTAATTTTTTGGTAGTGTGAGGCGACGAGTTACCTGTACAGTTAACCTAACCTAACCCGAATAGTAAGGAATAGTACAGTTACGCCCGTGTGTGTGGAGGAGAGGGACTTTAATAACCTGTTTGGGGTGAGCCTTTTTAGCCGGGCTAACAGGTTGTGCATGTATTATGTTGTGAGAGGCAGGTGTGTGTGTGTGTGTGCATGACGGGTGGGGGGTGAGGGGGCAGGGAGGGGGGTGTTTATGTTAGGGATAAAGGCCGTTTATGTAAGTGGGAGAGGTTACACAAGGAGAGGTGGGAGCACACGCACGCACGCACGCAACGGAGGTGTGTGTGTGTGTGTGTGTGTTGTGTTTCTTTCGTCGTCTTGTATATTCTTCGTCGTCATTAATTCTTGTTCTTAATTAATAGACCGAATAGATTTAGAGGTTAAAGATTAATTGTTATCGGGTATCAACAGGTGTATTCAGTTAATGATATCCCTGATACCTGAAGCACCTGGATATTAAGCAAGAGGAACAGCCTTTATATCCAACAATGACGTGACAGTCGAGATATAAATAACCTTTGAAGATAAACTATTAAAGTGGTTGGTTACTTGGGACACTAAATCCAAATACTCTAGTGTATACGAGTGAAGTGTAGACCCAGAGAACGGCTGTCACGTCTGTATTCGATCCACACCTTCGTCTCCGTCACCGTTCTCTACCCCATCCCAGAAGGTCACCCACCAACACACTCGTCGTCACCTCCACCACGACAAATGACGATAACTCAAAGTGAGGTGTGTGACAAGAACTCAGGGCATCGGTAGCTATGTTGGTGTGCTCGTGGCCCTGGGCATAAGGTGTGGTGGTGGTGGCCAGGTGGGTGGTGGGGGAGTGAGCGGACGGACCTACAACTATCCAACATGTTCCAACAGTTTCTCTATCATCACCTGAACGCCGTGTCCCCCTCGTAAGTACCTGCTTGGAGTAGTAGGTGTGTGTGTGTGTGTATGTAGGGGGGTGGGTTGTAGAGTGGTTGTCATGGTAATATCAAGGCAAGGGTTCACATAAGCAGCGTGACGAGTGTTTCAACAAGGGACTCATGTGTTGCTGCAAGACTCTTAAAGAGAGAGAGAGTGTGTGTGTGTGTGTGTGTGTGTGTGTGTGTGTGTGTGTGTGTGTGTGTGTGTGTGTGTGTGTGTGTGTGTGTGTGTGTGTGTGTGTGTGTGTGCCTTTTTATGGGTGAATGTAGCTGCGTAACGGACACCTCTCTCTCTCTCTCTCCTCAACACCTTCCCTGTGTTTGTATCTCCACATCAGTAGAAAAAATTCATCTCGATACTTAAATCTGTCTCAGCATCACCTAATTCACCTATCCTCGCACGGAAGGTATTCAACCCTTAAAATGTACCGGGAATGAATGGATTAACAAAGATCATGTGAAGGTGTAATGGTAATTAACACGTACAGGTAGTGGAGTATGTTAAATTGATCACAGGTTTGGGTGTAGGTGTGGATCGTCAACACAAGAGGTGCACGTGGTAGTGTGGAGGGGTGCTACAGTCCCTCGTGGCACACCCATCTGCAATAGCTATATCTATTTTTGACACACACACACACACACACACACACACACACACACACACACACACACACACACACCTACACACACACACACACACACCTGCACTGGCACATACAGGGTTACCCCCAGCTCTTTATACTACTACAGGAGCTTTTGTTGAGCGGTAACCTCTCTACAGTAGCTCGGCCTTCCTACTGGACGTCAAGCTAATACGATAGGCCTATTCTATGTAAAATAAATAATATTGTCTGCTGAGCCTCAAATGTAAAATCCTGGCAGAGTGAATGAGGAGATGGAGGTGTATTGAGTGCGCTTGTGAGTGCTAGTGATCATTGGTCGGAGGGCTTTGTGTTGAGTGTAGTGTGTTGCTGGTGTAAGGGGCAGCTGGTAAACAAACGGTACGGCTCTTGTGTCGCAGCTGTCCTCTCTCACGCCTCGTCACACACAGGGTAGGTTAGGTATAGGCATCTGTCGGTTGAGTTTCGCGGCTTTTTCCTCTCAGGTCCACAAGGAGTTCTTTTTACCAAACACCTGTTAAATTATGTCGTTTCTCGCGCTCTTCGGCAATTAGGGTGGCTTGGAAAATTGGTCCTTGACCGAGTTAAGATGCACATGAGGGAAAATAACCCTCTAGCGAAAAATATATTCATCAGTCAGGTCAGGAAAGTCAAGAATTTAGACTAACTTCAACGCAGCCAAAAAGACAAAAACATTTTAGTTATTGTGATGCAAGTCTGTTTACAAATTGATCATAATAAGAATAATCTCAAGTGTAATATTTTCTGCAACCTCGTCAGTAGAGTCTAGGGGGAGGGGGGGGGGGCAGGTAAATTATCTTCTTGTTAATACTTGGCTTCAGGTAAGAAGGTGGTATTAAACCTCAGACCAGGAGATTATTGGTAATTAATTGTGATTGTGTGTAAAAGATGGAGGAGGAGAATTTAATTTTTAGGTGAAATGAGTTGAGTTGGAGATGCTTCAAGGGATCTACAGTACACTACACACTGCCTTTAGTTAGAAGTTCAACGACCAGTATGACTCACCCCCGATGACACACGGCATATGGTAGGGGAAGTGACTCACTCTCTCTGATATGTGCGAGAAGAGAGAAAAGACATGTCTGCGAACGTGTGTGTGTGTGCAAGTGAGACAGAGTGGAGCAGTTAGTTGCGTTGATTGGTTTAATAGGTCTGGTAAAGTAAGGAGAGGGAGTGGTCGTTAGCGCGTCGCAGGTTGTCGTTGGTGACCGTTAATGCCGTTACCAGCACCCCGGCCGCCTCTCTTACAGTGTATACAAGTGGTTTTATTAAGGCGGTCATCTCAACCCTCACCACTAAACACCCGTATCTTATGTGCACAGTAGAGGTAGTGGTTAGTACACACACACACACACACACATGACGTACACAGTGGGAGTAACACGTACACACACACACATGACGTACACAGTGGGAGTAACACATGTACACACACACACTGGAGTAAGAAGGATGTAAAGATGGAGAATTCTTTGTTTTGAAGACTGTAAGGTGTGTGTTGGGGTGGAGGGAGGTGTAGCAGCCGTTCAAGTGCGCGTGTGTGTGACGGAGGATAAGAAGTACTGCTGTATAGTTAGTATGTCAAGGTATCCGACCAGCTGGTTTGAGAGTGGGTTAACGTCAGGGCGATCTGGCGCCTTTAAACAACACAAAATAGTTTCTCTTTATAATTTCCTCCTATTAAGTGAAGAGTAAAGGGATTAATTCATTCTTTATGGTCGACTCTCCAGCATTTTTAGCGTTCTTGGTGTCTTGTCATGGTCTTGTACCGGAGTTTAAGTGACCTTCTCAGTTCTTCGATTTAGAGGGGAATAAATTTTGAAACCTTTATGTAAATATTGGATCACGTGGAGATTAGCCCTCCCTCCCAGCTTATTTCACCTGATGATCAAACACCCTACACCCTAACGTTACCTGGTGGCGGTTAGGTTAGTTAGGGTGGTTAATCTTAAGGTTAAATAAGCTGGAGTGCCTATTCTTCACATGATTCAAAACATTGGTTACTAAAGCACAGGGATCGAGAGGCTTCCTGTGTGGACGTCATGCTACAGTGGGTCATCATCCGTCCACATCAGTTAACACAGGCTATTTTTGACAGCTGGTTGTCGCCTTTATTGCCAACCATTTCAGTTCTATTACTTTCCTTTCACCCACCTATGTCTTGCTCGCCACTCTACCAGGTATTTTTACTGCGTCATAACGTGAGCCTGGATTCACGCGTGAGAACACTTGGTATGGCCAGAATTTTTTGGTTCGTGCTTCTTTTTTCTTTTGGAAAAAATGGTTAACTAGATTTCTTTTGTTGAAGGAAAGGTTATTGTGTTTATGTATTTGGCGGTGACAAACACACACACTACGTATAATATGAATGTGCGTCAGTGTGGGTTTTTCTTGCAGAATTATGATTTTAACATGACCAGTAAATGAACATTTCTTTGTAATCATGTTCAGTAATAACAAGAATTAACCAAGTTGCTAAATGTTTTGTTTGTTGTTGCAGAGCGCTGCTCTTCCCGGCGGTGAACCCCCGGCGGCGGTTCCTCATCCACAAGACCGTGGAGGAGAACTTCCCCGATCTGGCCACCGTCAGCGTCGGCCAGGACGAGCAGAGGCGCACCGCCGTCACCTACAGGAATATCCAGGAAGCCACCACCCCTCCCAAGCCCTCGCCTGCCACCACGCCACGCCAGCAGCAGCAGCGGGGTAAGCAGCAACAGCCACAGCACCGAAACAAACAAAACTGTGAGAGGCAAGCAAGTCAGGAGGAGAGTCTGCCAAAGACTGCTGAAACACACAGCAACAAGACACTTAGGGACGACAAAAAGCCGCAACAGTGTTCACAACAGAGACGAGGCTCAACTGATCAGAAACAGAAAGGACCTCGGCAACCAGTAGAGCAGCGGCAGCGACAACAACAGCAGGAAGGACAACAGAAACACCCAACAGAGCCCAAGCAACAGCAGAGACAGCAACAACAACAACAACAGAATCATCGGCGGGCGTCAGTAGGATCTCAGCAACAAACAGAACAGCAAACAGAACGACGACAGCAGCAACAAACCCGTCAAGTGCGGCGGAGGAACAACCGCAGCCGGAGCAGTAGTAGCCAGTCGGTGACGGGAGGCGGCAGAGGACACCAGCCCCAGAAAGTTGTTAACGAGGGCGGCAAGAATGACGACCACGTGAAGGAGAACACAGAAGAAACACAAAGCAAGAAGAGAAGAAACAGAAGAAACAAACGAGGTAAAGACAAGACCGAACAACAACAGGGCAAAAACACAACGAATAATGGTCAGGCTGAGGACTGTGATAAGGAAGACAATAACGCAGAACAAGGAAGTGATTCAGTGTTAAATCGAGGATGTACTAAAGGCAGACACCATGTGTACGAGAGTGGCGTCAAACCCACAACAGTGAAACAGAACGACGGTGATAGTGAGTGGAGTGGTGGTGGTGGTATTGGTGTTGGTGTGAATTGTAATGGAAGTGACGGTGGTATACGGAAAAAGTTAAAATCGTTCGGTGAATCAAACAACTGGAAGAACAGTCGAGACTCTTGGAATACCAGTGAAGAATACGACTCAAGGTAAGATCTTTAAAGTTTTTTGGGGGATATTTGTGTTGAGTTCCAGAAGTTGTTAAATTAGGTTCGTGTAAGGTAAGTGAGATTAACGTTAGGTAAAATAATCGTGGGTATCTAACTTTCCCGCTGATCAAGATATTATTTACCATTGCCTGTTGATAACGTTTCCCGGGAGATGAGACGAGAGTTCCTACACCCGCCCACACCTGCCACTAGACACACCTACACTGGACGGGTTAATAGTGAGGGACATTCAGGTGTGTGGAGGGTAGGGGAGGAGCTTGTCATATATGTTAAAAACGACCTTGATCTTACTGCTGCTTGTAAATCCCACAGCAATACCGTGACCTGTTTACCTAATTCTCGACCAGTATACGTATTCTTATGTGTGTGTCTGTCTGTCTGTCGTAATTCACTGGTTCACAGGTACACAGGTTCATCGGCACACAGGTTCGTTGAGCAATTAACCCCTCCCGAGTGCCCCTCCGCAATTGTTCTATTGTGAGGACTGCTCAAGGGGTCACTGAATACTGTTGTGTACGAGCTGGAACACCGCCAGGATTTAAATGTTCTTTCATCAGGGGAGACATATATAAGATACACAGTAGCCTTCAGGGAATTAGTATAGAGTGATGAATGGTGAACGAGCGACATCTTTTGTTTCACGAATCATAATGTGGAGAAACAAGAAGCCCAGAAAGTGTGTTGTGTAAAAGTTGAAAATGCAATAGTGTTTTGTGTGTGTGTGTGTGTGTGTGTGTGTGTGTGTGTGTGTGTGTGTGGAGAGGTGATGGGGGAAGAGGGAGTATTGTGCAAGTTGCTCAACATGCGTGGCGTGTATGGTGAAAGGCGAGAGGTCCAGACAAGACACCAAGACTCGCCAGTTAGTGACCCGTGAACAATCCTCCCTTCGATGGTGCCTTTACATAATTACCTACAGTATTGTAGCAGTTATTCCTAGTCATGTGAGGCACGAGGACCTGGCTTCATCACCTACACCGTGCCTGACTTCCTTGCCTGGCCTGACCTAGAGATATAACTATTACTTACATACATACATACCAGGTGGAAGTACAGTATTAACATTCCTATTGGTTGAGTATTCGTGTAAGATGGTCAGCGTGTGGAGGCGAGTGTTGTAGAAGTAGAGAGGTCATGTAGATTGTAGAGCAAGTTTGTATATCCCAGGGAGTTGAAAGGACTCGCCACTGTATATCGTGTGCCTGGCGATGTTGTACCAGCGTCTCCCGTCATATCTCTTGGCTGTGGATACATTGATGACTCAAGGCTTGAAGTTCCAAAGGTTTGTTTCAACGTCGGATGTTCCTCATAGCTGGGAGATGTAAGAACACACCCAAGACGTTACCTATGTTCAATTAGCACTGTTGAACGGGACAAAAATAAGGTACTGATGTCTTGTTAAACACTGATTTGGCATATAAGTACCAAGACACAGGTACACACACACACACACACACACAGGTACACGCACCACACACACACACACACACACAGAGGTACACACTCGTAACAAGGTGATCCGCGAAACCATTTAAAAACTATATGATGTAAGGTACGTGTGTGTGTGTGAACTAATATATTCCTTTACTTGCTAACAATCTCAGCGTGTCAGTCAGTACGTGTTGGTGTGGTGTCCAATGTGTGCAGGGCTTATATGACTTCCAGGGGGAAATTAGTTTACACATTATGTTCCCGAGATATACCACAGACACTAAACAGGTTCTTCCCTTCTCTCATCTTCATATCTTCCCTTCACCACCATTCACCGTGTACATAATAGTGAGAGAGAGAGAGAGAGAGAGAGAGAGACACCCTCGGCAGTTGATATGTCAGGTGTATCACAGGAGAGTTGATCATGACAAATTGGATAGGTAACGATAACGAGATGCTCAGGTGGTCAGCTTAACACATCGTAAAAGCCTCTGGTGTACTGAAGTTGTTTGTCAGTGTGACTTAGATGCTGTCGTAAAATTTAGCTTGAATATTAGTTTACTATATGAAATTTTAGTCCGTTGGTGTCTGAATGGATAGGTAGATAGATGTGAGAAATAGATCAGTGGTAGATGAATGGATGGGATAAGTAACAGGTGTATTGATGGGTGACCGAGGTGAGGTAAATGCAGGTGCCAGGTGAGGTACGGCAGGGTACTGAGGTGGGATACAGGTCAGTGCTGCTGGGTCCGTCTTAAAAATGAGGTCAAGTCAGCTGGAACGAGTCGTGTTAGGTTAAAAGGTCAGTAGCTAGAGAAGTTGGTCACACGCCCGTCTGTCTGGGGTCTTGTCTCCACCATCACATAACTCAAGCCAGCCTTTCTTTCTTTCTTTCTTTCTTTCTTTCTTTCTTTCTTTCTTTCTCTCTCTCTCTCTCTCTCTCTCTCTCTCTCTCTCTCTCTCTCTCTCTCTCTCTCTCTCTCTCTCTCTCTCTCTCTCTCTCTCTCTCTCTCTCTCTCTCTCTCTCTCTCTCCAGCTAGACATGCTTACTTGTACACCTTTCTATACCTTTACCAGTCAGGAGACAAAATATTGAACTTAACAGAACCTTTGTGGGTGTGGACTCAAGGTTACCTTATTGAATCGTTGTCCCGTTTAAAGGAAACCAGGACGGAATTTTGAGTTTTTATCTACCCACAAGGTGAAGAATGAATCGTATAGTGTAGGAACAAGAATCATAGTTAAGGAACATGAATCATATTGTGGGAACAAGTTTAGGAACAAGAATCAGAGTTTTTATTTATCCAGCCTACAGTATTTTGGAACATTTATTTAGAATTAATGGACAGAGAGAGAGAGAGAGAGAGAGAGAGAGAGAGAGAGAGAGAGAGAGAGAGAGAGAGAGAGAGCTCGTCTTGTAATCGAAACAAACTTAATAATACATTACCAGTCACAATCACACACACACACACACACACACACACACACACACACACACACACAGTGCCTGACTGGATGATAAGCTCAGCCAGAAATTGCGTCTTGGGGTAAACAGTAAGACTTATTCCTACATTGAAAAAATAATTCAGATTAGGTTAGGTTGGGTTTTTTTCGGTGGAGACTCGTAGACAAGTGTTGATGACGTTTGAAGAGACTCTTAATGACGATATATACAGACTGAGTCAACAAAGAGTAACAATGATGATTATAGTAATAATAATAATAGGTGTAAAACATGGGGTAAAACATTGAATACTAGTTTAACTGGGTAAACATTGGTTTGGAAATATAGTGGGTGAGTGGAACAAGTTACCATACATCATCATTAACTCGAATACGCTGGATAGCTTCAAACATAGGTTGGATGTAAACGGGACTGCCCAGTATGGGTCAATAGGCCCGCTGTAGTTTCCTCCATTCTTGTGTTATCCATACCGACCGTTGACCTCTCCTCAACCCCCCCCCCCCTCTCCCCGGTGTCTCAAGTGTCAACATGAGAGATTTTCTATACAGTGTGGGGCCCAGCTTGCAGCCAAACAGTGGTAGCCTCACTGACTCCACATTATCACTGCCCGAGTCTATATGATTATGTCGTCTATTCAACATTTCCTGCAGTATTTCCAGGTAATAGTTTTGTACATTGAATTTAATTTGAAGCGTATTTTAATTGGCTGAAATCTACGGTAGTTCTTGAACCTGAATATGTGTAGTAGTAACACAGCAGGGACTCGTGTTGCTAATGCCTGCAGCTGGGGTTGGCAGCACATTCCCCTACCCTCTCCCTGACCCCCCCCCCCTCAAGCAGCGGCGCGGTAGAGAACAGATCTTATCGAGATACGAGTGTTTGTTAGTTGCCTTATGGCCCTGCTTCCTGGCCCAGGCTGAAACACTCCTCCTCCCCCTCTTCCCCTTCTTCCTCCTCCCACCCCCCTTCTTCCTCCTTCTCCTCCTCTGTGCGATGAATATAAAGGAAAATAAAGAACAAAAAAGCATTTTAATGATTTGGTGTGTGTGTGGGGGGGTGTCCTATGATCGTGTTTACTTGTATCAGCTGATTGGGCGAGACCCGTGGGCTGATAAAGGTTAGTAGTACAGGTATATGTTTTAAGACGCCGCAGACCTCCAGGCGCAGTGTGTTGGGGGTAACCTTGACCCATTAATCTCTCTCTCTCTCTCTCTCTCTCTAAAACTTTAACATAACAGTGAAAGATTGTGTAGGCCTTAAAAGTCTCATTCTTCAATACTACTACGCTGTGTTGTGTTGGCCTTTATAACCTTGGCCTAGTGGTGGTAATTAATGCTGTAGGCCTAAACATGGAGGGGGTTTAGTGCCGGGTTATGAAGGTGGAGGCTAAAGAGGCGTGTGTGGGGGGGGGGTCGGTCCTCATTTCCTGATTTATTTTCCTCCGTCCTATTCTTCCTCCTCTTCCCTCTTCCTCCACATTATTTTCCTCACCATCTCATTTTTCTAACCCTATGTCCTCCTCTTCGTCGGTGTAAACAAAGATGGGGGATATTGTGTCGAAATACACCTGCAGCCGAGTTTCCGTTGTCGGGTGTGTCTGTTTGCTTGTGTGATGGCGGTAGGAACAGCTGGGTTTGTTTACATTTGGGCCGGGTGGGTACAGGAAGAGAGAGAGAGAGAGAGAGAGAGAGAGAGAGAGAGAGAGAGAGAGAGAGACCGTTGCTAAGTGTACTACTCAACAACATCTGATATTTTTAGCCACCTCTCCTCTTTCCCTCTCTCTCAGCACATCAGGTAATGCGTAGTAACACAGTTTAGACATTGTTTATGAAATACCATGTGATTTATACCCAAGATTGGTATCCTTCTGGGATATATCTCGGTACCAGCAGTCAACACCCTCTTGAAGGAACACGACCACCCCAGAGAACACCCGCAGGAATCCTCACGTACAGAAGTGTTGTAAGGGTGCCACCGTGGCTCTCATCTTAGCCCAGTGTAGCGTTACGAGCGTGAACCAAATATCTGGCAGCTCTTGTTTACACCTACAGACCCAAGTTAATGCTTCGCTTATTGTTGTCATTAT